GGGATGGGAAGGGGAAACAAAGCAGCAGGCTACAATGCTTGATAAGAAATGTACTCATTATCTTGCCCATGTAATTGTAACCCATCTGTACAGTATTTCCACAATAATAAAAAAAAAGAATCTCTGGGACTTTCCTGCCTAGACTGGCTTCAAATCTCAAACCTTTATCCTTACACCTTAGTCTCCTGTGTGGTTAAGATTGCAGGCATGAGCCACCAGTGCCTGGTCCAATCTTTTTTTTTTTTTTTGTCAGTTGTGGGGCTTGAACTCTGGGCCTGGGTGCTGTCCCTGAGCTCTTCAGATCTCAGCCTCCTAAGTAGCTAGGATTATAGGCATGAGGCATTTGAAATCAGTTTTTTCGGTTGGTCATGGGGCTTGTACTCTGGGCTTGGGCACTGTCTCTCAGCTCTTCAGCTCAAGACTACCACTCTACCTCTTGAGCCACAGTGCCACTTCTGGTTTTCTGGTGGTTAATTGGAGATAAGAGTTTCAAGAACTTTCCTTGCCTGGGCTGGCTTTGAACTGTGATCCTCAGATCTCAGCCTCCTGAGCAGCTAAGATTAGAGGCTTGAGCCACCAGCATCTACCTTTCTTTCTTTCTTTTTTTTAAAAATAATATGAGAACCCGGTAAGAATCTATTTTGGACTTCATTTAACAAATGCTAATAAACACTATTTTAGCAAATTTCCTGAAAAAGGTTTGAAATAAATTGGACACAGTGTCAACTTTGTAAAAGGTGAAAGATTTATGCAATCTGAAGACAAACCCAAGAGTACAATGTCAACTTTGGATCAGGTCTCTTGGATATTGTCTATATGGATCATTCTTCAGGCATGAAGCTCTTTATTTTCGGTGCCAGTCCTGGGGCTTGAACTCAGAGCCTGTGTGCTATCCCTGAGCTTCTTTTTCCCCACAAAGCTAGTACCCTACCACTTTGAGCTACAACTCTACTTCCAGCTTTGGGGTGATTATCTGGAGATTAGTCTCATGAATTTTCCTACCTGGGTTAACTTTGAATCCAGATCATCATTTCATGTCCTTACCCAGGCTTTATTTTTCTCTGTAGCATGTAGTTTCTGAAATTACTTATTCATTTCTTTCCTTCTTTACTGTCTCCTCCACTAAACTGGGAGCTCACCACTGTGAGTCTAGCAAGTAGAATGGACTAGCGGACTACCATATACTAGGAACTCAGTACCCACTTGTAAAATGAGAATGTCAATGGAATGAACAAACTGAAGGAAAGGTGTTGCCTCCAGGACTGAAAGCCACATACATCTCAGGTAAAAATGTCTGTGAACCTCTCCACTCAGTTATGGAAGGCTAATCCTCTTAATTAAAGCAACCTGAATTGTCCAGTTAATGAGATAGCTTTACATTTCCCAAAAGTTAACAAGAAAGAATCTTTTCACTGTGCAAAACTCTCAGCATCAAATCCTACCTAATGGTTTTAAGCTTTACGGTGCACATAATTTTAGCTACTTAAAAAGCCTATTTGGTAAGTAAACACAGTATTGGAGAAAGACCAAACAAAACCCATAATCTGTTCCATGTCAAGGGTTCATGTAGTGAACTCAGGGTGGCCTAGCCCCTTCAAGCTGGTGTCAGCATCCAGACAGCTGTGTAATGTTGTCTTTCTGCACTAACATCATGAGTGTGTTTCCATGGGAATATACTGGAGCCTCTCTTCCCTTAGGATTGATCTGCACAGTTCAGATGAAAAAGACTGCTGGAGGGCTGGGAAGTTGGCTCAGTGGTAGAGCGTTTGCCTTGCATGCCTGAGGCCCTGGGTTCGATTCCTCAGCACCACATAAGCAAAAAGAAAAAAAAATCCGGAAGTGGCACTGTGGCTCAAGTGGTAGAGCGCTAGCCTTGAGCTGAAGAGCTGAGGGACAGCGCCTAGCCCAGAGTTCAGGCCCCATGACCGGACCTCAAAAAAAAAGAAAAAGAAAAAGACTGCTGGATACTCCATGTCTTAGTGATTTGTTGGCCTTATATCACCATTTATAAAAGATGAAATTAGGCAACTCAACAGACCATTCTTAAAATTCTGTTTTACCCTGTCCTGGCAAACGTGTCTTTAATCCTCTTACTTAGGTTCAAATAGATTTAAGTGGCTCTAAGTGGTTCTTACTGAACAGGGTGTGGGTGCTGATTGATTCTGTTGCAACAGACCCTAGAGCTTTATCTGCTTATGACAGGATAGCGAGTGGACCTGTTAGCGTTTCACTTACGGTCCCCACTGCTGGTCGATGTCTGCTCCTCTCTGAGCGAGAACTGGAATGGCTTCATGGTGCTTATTCACAACAGCCACAGTAATAGCGGGCCGGCCTTCGTTATCACTGCAGTTGGGGTCTGCTCCCTGTGGGACATGGAAAGGGAGAAACAAACACACTACAAAATCCTGAACTCAGCGTTTTCTCACTGCCATCCTACTAAGTATAACAGGTGTTTTGTTAAAGAAATAGTGGAACTAAAGTTGACCTCAAGACCCAATTTGGACATAGCTGGGAAGACTTCCATCAGGCTTGGTTTGGAAAACAGGCTGAAGGTCAAATGGGGTCATGGACCAGGAGTTCTGTCCGGTCTCATGCATGTTACTTGGGCTCATATGCATTTGCCTATTATCATTGTTGTAAAAACTAGCAATAGTGAGTCTAAAGCTTTTGAATAGCCAATTATTCTCAAGCAGGTCAATCCACAGGCACCAGGTAGAATGACAGGCTGAACTAGGTAGAGAAGTCACACTCACTTCATCTAGCAGCTGTTCAAGCACAGAGACTCTTCCTTCTCCTGTAGGGCCAACTTCCTCCAGCAGGAGTCTGTTTTCAGGCTGCAGGATTACACAATGTGGTCATTCCCACTCCCTCTGAGTATCTGTACTATTTGCGTCCCAGGCCTCACACTCAAGCAATGCTCCCTTTTCGAGCTTAGCAGTAACATTCCCAGTTGAGTTCAAGCCACATGGATGGGGGAATCTGAGTGTGAGTGTATGTGTGTGTGTAAGAGAGAGAGACTGTGTGTGTACACACATACATAGTTTTTAACAACCAGTAGCGTAAACATTTTTATCTAATATTAAGGACACTGCACTGACATTAATTTGTATTATTAAGGGCAGAAGTGCAATGAGAAACCTCACAAAAGCAAAGAAACTCCACACTACTTTTATTAGAAGAAAAGCAGCCAGATGAATTTATTTTTTTCTTTGTGTGTGTGTGTGTGTGTGTGTGTGCACAGTAGTAGGCAATTGAGCCCAGAGTCACACACACACACACACACACACACATGACAGGTGCTCTATCACCGAATTACACTGCAGCTTTTCTTTAAAATAATTTTTTGAGACAGAGTCTTGCTAGGTTGCCCAGGCTCGCCTTGTGGTCCTGCCTTAGCCTCCCAAGTGTTATGGGGATGCACCACAGCTTCCAGCTACTCTGCATGGTTTATAAACTCTTCAACTTTATATAAAACCATCAGGGAAATGGGTGAATTAATTGTTTAGAAAAAAAACACAGCTTTCATGTATCATCAGAAATCAGAAGAATCTTTAATATTTTCAAAATGCTATAAAATGCATTTTATATATGAAGAAGACTGAAGGAAATAAGCCAATACATATTTCTGTCTAGGTCCCATGGATGATTATGGGTGGTCATCTTGTATGTGAAGTGGAAATAAAACCCACGTCTTGTCTGGTAGTAGTAGCTCATGCCTATAGTTCTAGCTATTTGGCAAGCTGAGATATGGAGGATCAGGGTTCAAAGCCACCCTGGAGAGTTTGTGAGACTCCATCTCCAAAATGACCAGCAAAAAAAAAAAGCTGAGCTAGAGATATGTCTCCTGTGGTAGAGTGCCATCTGAGCAAGCAAATTAAGGTTCAGGCAAATAAAACAAAGAACAAAAACAAACACTTCTCCCTGGGACTCTAAGCCTTTCAGAAGATGCTGGGCCCAGGCTGTCACCTTCACCTCTCCACCCCCATCTCTCTGCTGAGTACTTTCGAGCAGGGTTCTCTAATCAATAAACCCTCAGGGGGTATCTGGAGAGATATTTATGTTTATACTAAATTCTAGTCCTTAAGGAAAAATGCACTAGAATATTAGCCTTAAGAGGCATGAGAGACTTGGTCATTTTTCACTTTTTTTTCAAACACTTAGAAACATGTTTGGGATATGTGTGCTCAAAAGTTAACACTGTATTAATGAATGGGTGTTACTGTGTTTCTCATACTTAGCCCTTAAAAGCAGATGAGAGAGTAGAGGTATACAGCAGTGGGACATCAGGTCACTTACAGAGGAGGGTAGAATCTCTGAAGTTGTAGACTGTTAAGTTTGGATAACTCTAATACTTCTCTAACACTCATTTCAATATTTCAAATGGGGAGGTGGAGAGTACAAGGAATCATAAGCAACTGGATTTTAAAGAATTTTGAAGTCTTTGTCCAAATGACCAGGGTTGACTACATGCAAAGCATATATTGGGAAAACCAAAACAAAGTCCTGTCTTTGGAGAAATTTCAGTGTAAGCGAGGCGGCCAATGAGTGCATTGTTGAGGAAGTTCAAGAGTCTGGGGGAAGCAAGGATGGAGAAATGGCACCACATGTGCCCATCTCCATGTGGGGCTAGGCTCAGGCTTTGGGGCTTATTGCTAATCACAGCTGGATTCTGTGGTGCAGCCAAAAAGAGCCAATCAAAAGGCAAAGTGGAACCAGTGGTTCACATCTGTAATCCTAGCTACTCAGGAGGCTGAGATCTGAGGATCACGGTTCAACGCCAGTCTGGGTAGAGAAGTCCATGAGATGCTTATCTCCAATAAACTACTCAGAAAAAGCCAGAAGTGGTGCTGTGGCTCAAGTGGTAGAGTGCTAGCATTGAGTAAAAGAAGCCCAGGGACAGAGCCCAGGCCTAGAGTTCAAGCCCTAGGACCGGCAATAAAAGAAAAAAGAAAGAAAAAAAAAAGCAAAGTTGAGGATACTATAGTCGATCAGTCTTTTTCTCCAGAGTTCCCTTTGGAATTAAACAAACTAAAAAAAATGGGGGGGGGAATGGGAGGGCAGGGATGGTAAGGGGAAACAAAGGAGGAGGCAACAATGCTGGATAAGAAATGTATTCCATGGAAGTGGCGCTGTGGCTCAAGTGGTAGAGTGCTCGCCTTGAGCTGAAGAGCTGAGGGACAGTGCCCAAGCCCAGAGTTCAAGCCCCATGACCAACTAAAAAAATAAAAAAAAACAGAAATGTATTCCTAGGCTGGGAAGGTGGCTCAGTGGTAGAGCGCTTGCCTTACATGCATGAGGCCCTGGGTTCGATTTCTCAGCACCAAATAAGCAAAAAGAAAAAAGCCGGAAGTGGTGCTGTGACTCAAGTGGTAGAGTGCTAGCCTTGAGCTGAAGAGCTGAGGGACAGTGCCCAGGCCCAGAGTTCAGGCCCACGACCGAACCCAAAAAAAAATGTATTCCTTACCTTGCTCATGTAATTGTAATCCCTCTGTATGGTATTTTCACAATAAAAAACTTATTAATAAAAAAAATGCTAGCCATAAGAAACCCTGACAGAGTCCCTATCATTTTGAGGAATTCCAGTAAGATGATAGTAGACAAAATCTGACAGGAAAAGGAAAGCAATTCCAGCTGCACAAACAGGTCTATGTGGTTTCAAGTGGAGCCCTGCAGAAGCTGAAAGTTAATTAGTAAGGAAAGCAGATGTTGGCTGCAGATTGAGCCCAGGTGTATGTTATTGTTAGGAGCTGACATAGCTGTTTCCTCTCCCCTTCTATCTCATATGAAAATGGCAGAAGATTGCACTCTTAAACTGTGACAACTGCTTTCTTGAATGCACCTGATTTGTCCAATAAATACTTCTACTAGGAGAAGGGCACAGCTCAGATCTCCACAACAGAAAGAGGGGTGGGTGTGGAGGGCAAGGGAGGAAAGACAGTGGAGGGCAGGGGAGGAAAGATGGTCCCACTAAGGACTGAAATACACAAAAGCACATCACATTCCCAACATCTTCCCAATTAGAGAAAGGACCTTCTTCACTGACCTTACAGGAGACCCTAACACTTTCTCCCATCCCCTTCCCAATAGCTCCAGGGAAACTAGTCTCACAAACTAGCCTACACATGGACTTCAACCCACATACTCACGTTGGGTTCCCATGTCATGCATTGGTTTTACTCTTTTTTTTTTTTTGGTGCCAATCCTGGGGCTTGAACTCAGGGCCTTGGCACTGTCCCTGAGCTCCTCTTCCTCAAGGCTACCACTCTACCACTTGAACCATGGCAACACTCCCCCTTTTCCGTGTATGTGGTACTGTGGAATCAAGCCTAGGGCTTCAGGCATGGTAGGCAAGCACTCTACTACTAGACCACATTCCCAGCCCTATGCTGTTATTTTTCAAAGAGCAGGAAATAAGGAAGTGTTAATGAAGTATTCTGTTCAAAAGTGTCAAAATAAACATTAAAATAACAGAACTATAGAGACTAAGAAATATACATACTACAAGCTGTTCTTTCCTTTTGTGAAATTTCTTGGTCTTGGGATTCCTCATCCGCTTGACCCTTTCCGAGGTGTCTGATGTACACTGGCTGTAGTCACTCACTGAAACGACAAAGAGTTGTAGACCAAAATGACCACCCCCTCTCCACTCCCTTCATGTAAGATGCCACTTCTACTGTCATGCCCCTCAAAAGTCAGAAAGATAAAATGGATTGTATACAAATTTCCATCTCAGTAAACCTGGCAAGAGTGACCCCTGAAGCCACCCTACCCCCCCTGTCTAGGAAACAGAGGATGAGTAGAAGGGAAAGAAATAGAAGAGACTTCAGTTTGGGAGCTGAAAATAATATATACCCCTCACCCTACCTCCAAAAAATGAATCTCCAAACCCTATGAAGGACTTCAAAAGTCTCACTGTGATTTCAGAAAAGGAAGATAAATAAAATGGCTGAAACATAACAGTAATCTTTGTGATGGGGCTGTAAATTTTTATGTGAGTCCCTGCCATACTTGCCAAAACACTGTGCTCCTGGTCATTGTTGTAATGTCCCCAGGAAAGAATGACTCACCCAGGCTGGACCTGCTGCCGTACAGCCCATTACCGCCCTCAGCAACACCGCTCAGAAAGTGGTCGCTGAGATCCACAGCTTTGTTCAGATACAGGTTCTGGCCAATGCAAAAATTCAGGTACCAGGAATGAGGAGGCTTCTGTGTCCCGACAGAAAGAATGATCTACCTTGCTAACCTGCTTCTATTTGTTAGCGCTTGCTCCCTTTACCCAGAGAGTTGAGCCTGTGTAAAGCCAAGACATCCTTCTATACCCTTCCTCACTTTCCCTCCCAGGCTGTCATCCATTTTTGCCTCTTAATCAACCTCAGTGGGACCTACCTGTTCTCCATCACTATCTCCTCTCATCAGACCCCTGTTCTCACACAGGGACTATTTCAATACATCCCAACAGCCTTTTTTTTTTACCAGTCAGGGTTAAAAGTAAATGTGTCCTTCCCCCATAGAAATGCCTTAAGCATCTTGGGGACTGTGGAAGTATGATGGGAGGCTTAAGGCTGCTGGTTGATTCCTGATTCTGTCACTTACTAGTTTAGTGTCCTTGGAAGAAGCAAGTTACTTCTCTGAACGTATTTCCTCACTTAGAAAGTTGAAATACTATGTGTACTTCAAAGGGACATAATAAATGTTAGTTCTCTCCTTTTCTTTGCCTTCCTTTCCTGTTTTTTCAGTCCAGTAATTATCCTTTTGCCTATTCTGACTTGTCCAAGGCTACTGATATGGGTCAGTTAATATCTATTAATGCATTTATGGCTCTGGGGTAATGCCCTAGTCCTTATATAAAAGGAGTCTTGGTTACAAAGCTTAGTTTAAAAAGCAAATGGTCAAACGTGTATATATGTCATTCTTGCTCCAAGTCAGTTATATAAAGATATGTCACAAGACTTAAATGAGTATGAATAAGCCAGACAACGACACGACTTCGCACTGGTGATAATTCCTGCTCTTAACTATATCTTTCTATATCTAAAAGCTGACTTCTCTGAGATTAAACTCAAGTATTTATGTGATTTTATGAAATTGTTGCCTACCATCAATATTTAGAACTTCTTTTCTATAGATTACACAGAAGCATTCCTATAAATTATATGCTACGATATACTAATTCAAAAAGTTAATATTAATTCTAAAGGTTTACTTACCTTGTTAGAGACTTGAATATAATTCAGCCTGATGCTAACTTCACAGCCATCCTCATGGACAGTAGCAGAGATGAGCTTTTAAAGGAATTTCAAAAGGAAATCTTAACTGTGGGTGTGGGACTCTAGGCTTACTGCCTTGAGCAATGATCTAGAAATTTCAAGGTGTCAAATTTAAGTTCAATCAGATATGTTTGAACACAAAATAATTTAATGAAAGAAAAACTGAAGTACAAAAACGAGATATGAGTAGAAAACAGAGAGTAAAATGGTAGATCTAAATCCTGGTATATCAATAATTGCATTAATTATAAATAAATACTTTAAAGGGCACAGATTTTTAGACTGTACCCTTTGATTAAAGGAAGAAAGCAAGATCCAAATTTATACTTGCTTCAAGAGGCACACTTTAGTTAAACCATATGATTGGATGTGATCACCTTGGAAAAGGTACTGTGTTGGTTGGGGGGATGCAGTATAGAGCCCTGGTGATTAAAATAATTCACAGTTGAGAAGATTTCTCTGTAAGTAGCAGAAAAAATTAGATTAAAACAGGGGGCAGGAAATGTTTTTGTGAAATGTTACAATAATTTTAGGTCCTAAGAGCCATAAATTCTGTATTATGAATACTTAACATTGCATTGTAGCATAAAGTAGCCACAGATAACATGTAAAAGAATGCATGTAAGTCTGATCCAATAAAGCTTTATTTTAAAATTGAGTAACAAGCCATATTTATTCCACATGTCATAGTTTGCAGACCTGTGGATTAGCTTATTAGTATTTTTTAAATCCCAATATCGTTTATTAAAGGAAATTGTGAGAAGTTCTTGAAAATGAGGCACTGTGATAGTTTAAGGCAAAACCTTGAAGGAAGCCTGATTACCAAGGACATTCTAAAGGAGAAATTTCATCTTACCCACCTTTCCCATCCTGGGTTCAGCGATCAAGGCCCGGAATTCAGGGTTGTTCTGAGCGTAAGATCTGAGGTGAGCAGAGATGTGATCCAACTGTTTCCTCCAGTATCCTAAAAAAAAAAAATAGAGAAATCCAGCTATATGGATATTTCTTCTGAGACTAAGGACATGTGGAATATACATTCTCAGTGAATTTTTTTTTGGCTGGTCATGGGGCCTGAACTCTGGGCTTGGGCTCTGTCCTTAGCTCTTCAGCTCAAGGCTAGCACTCTACCACTTGAGCCATAGCACCACTTCCGGCTTTTTTCTGCTTATGTGGTGCTTAGGAATCGAACCCAGGGCTTCATGCATGCAAGGCAAGCACTATACCACTGAGTACCTTCCCAGCCCAAGTTATTTTCATCATGATCATTTTCCCTATGAACATCAGTGGTACATGAATAAATTTCATTCCCTTGCTGGCTTCAGAAAACAGATGATTGTTCATGGCATATTACAAAATTTCAAAAGAATATCTTTTGATTGTCACACATGAAGACAAAGTCATATAAAATAGGTTTCTTTTCAGTTTCTTTTATGAACCTCTCTGCTGATTTTCATAGTGCTTCCACTAGTTTGCATCCTCATGAAAGGTGAATTCTGAGAGTTCCTTTCTCCCTGCATCTTCACCAGCATTTATTTATTTATTTGAACTCAGGACCTGAGCAATGTCCTGGAGTTTCTTTTGCTCAAGGCAAGTTACTCTACCACTTTAGCCACTTCCAGTTTTCCGGTGGTTTGTTGGAGATAAGAGTTTTACAGGGCTGGGAAAGTGGCTCAGTGGTACAGTGCTTTCCTTGCATTCAGGAGGCCCTGGGTTCGACTCATCAGTACCACATAAGCAGAAAAAGCTGGAAGTGGTGCCGTGGCTCAAGTGGTAGAGCACTAGCCTTGAGCTGAAGAGCTGGGGGACAGCACCCAGGACCCACGACCAATGACAAAAAAAAAAGAGTTTCACAGACTTTCCTGCCTGGGCTGGCTTTGAACTGTGATCCTCAGTTCTCAGCCTCCTGAGTAGCTAGGATTACAGGCATGAGCCACTGGCGCCTGGCCTCCTTCTCTCTTTTTCTTTTCTTTTCTTTTCCTCTCTCTCTCTGTCTTTCTTTCTGTTGATTGTAGGGTTTGAACTTAGGCACTCCACCACTTGGAGTCACAGATCCACTTCTAGTTTTTGAGTGGTTAATTGGAGACAAGCATCTCACAGGGACTTTTCTGCCCAGGCTGGCTTTGAACTGCGATCCTCAGATCTCAGCCTTCATTGGCACCTAACAGTTGTTTCTTTTGATGTGCAAAACCTTTTTGATTTGATATAGTCCTGTTAGTCAATTCTTGCTCTTATTTGCTGGGCAACTGAGTCTTATTCAGAACATAATGACCTGGACCTATATCTTCCAGAGTTTCCCCTAGAGTTTCATATCTTTTATTTAAATATTTGATTTAGAGTTGATTCTATGCAGGATGACAGGGATCTTATTTCAGTTTCCTATATGTAGATAATCTATTTTTTCCAGTACCATTTTTGAAGAGGCTGTCTTTTCCCCAATGTATGATTTTGTGGTTCATTAAAAAAATTAGTTGTAGCTGTACAATTTGATTCCTAGGTAGTCTCTGTAGTATAATTTGAAGCACTGTATTGTAATGCCTCCAGCCTTGCTATTTTAGTTCAGGATTATTTTTGTTATTTGGGGTCTTTTATGCTCCCACTTGGATTTTTATTTATTTATTTTTTGGGCGGTCCGGTCATGGGGCCTGAACACTGGGCCTGGGCGCTGTCCCTCAGCTCTTCAGCTCAAGGCTAGCACTCTACCACTTGAACCACAGCGTCACTTCCGGCTTTTTTCTTTTTGCTTATGTGGTGCTGAGGAATCAAACCCAGGTCCTCAGGCATGCAAGGCAAGCGCTCTACCACTGAGCCACCTTCCCAGCCCCCTTGAAGTGGCTTTTTTTTTTTTTTATCATCCTGGTTCAATCTTGGTAGGTCAAATTATCGAGAAATTTGTCCCGTTCTTCTATACTTTTCCATTTGAAATAGACTATGACAAGATCCTAAGAGGCCAGCCACAAGAACTGCAGAGTATGAAATAGCTGGAATCAGCAAATCCATGGACAGACAGTACATTAGTGGTTGCTGGGCACTCAGAGAGGGAATGTAGACAGTAGCTACCCGAAGAGCATGGGGTTTACATTTGGGATATCGAATTGTACATTTTAAAATAGTAAATTGGTAATTTTATGTTATCTAAATTTCACCCCAATAAAAATGTGATAATAGGTGGATGTGGTATCACACCTCTGTAATTCCAGCTACTGAGGAGCCAAAGATCAGGAGGGATGTGGTTCAGGGACAGCCCACATAAAAATTTAGAGACAAGCTGGGTGCTGGTGGCACATGCTTGTAATCCTAGTTCTCAGGAAGATGAGATCTGAGGATCACAGTTTGAAGCCAGCCTGGGAAGGAACGTCTGTGTGACGCTTATCCCCTTAACTACCAAAAAGAAGCCAGAAGTGGAGCTGTGGCTCAAGTAGTAGAGTGCTAGCCTTAAGCAAAAAGAAGCTCAGGGATAGTGCCTAGTCCTTGAGTTCAAGCCCCAAGATCAGTGCACACAGAAAATTTAGGTATAATGCCGGGTGCTGGTGGCTCATGCCTGTAATCCTAACTACACGGGAGGTGAGGTCTTAGGATCATGGTTCAAAGCCAGCCTGGGCAGGAAAGCCCGTGTGACTCTTATCTCCAATAAAACCACTAGAAAACCGGAGGTGGCATTGTGTCAAGCACTAGAGCGCTCACCTTGAGCTGAAGAGCTGAGGGATAGTGCCCAAGCCCAGAGTTAAGGCCCCACGACCGACCAAAAAACAAAAAAAAAAAAAAAGAAAGAAGAAAATTTAGGGATATCCCATCTCAAAAAACAAGTTAGGTATGGTAAAACATGTGTGTCAACTCATCTGTAAAATAATTAAAGCAAAAGGGGGACAGTGTGGCTCAAATTGTAAAGCATCTACTTCTGAGTGAAAGGCTTAGTTAAAAATAAAGTAATAATGTCAGATGACAATAGTGATGAAGACTTACAATGTGTTTACACAATTGAAGGAATCCATGCATGCATGGATTATTAATCAGAATAACCCCTTCTAATTTGATTGATGAACTAAATAGCAGGGCACTGAGTCCAAATCACTACTAATCATACAGGGAAACTACTTCAAAAAATCAAGGAACTTCAAGAGAAAAGATGAGATGCTCTTCCAGAAAAAGGATGTTTTCTGTCCCCTCACCTCTTCCTGGGCTGATGGCTGTGATGAAGGGTTTGTGGTCATTCATCTTCTCCAGCCTCTGTTTGTGAGAAGCCATTTCCAGTTCCTTCTGTGCAAGCAGCTTGCCAGATGGGTAGAACAGGCCAGCAGTTTGTGTGCCCATATTCTTCCTGGTCCCATCATGAGATATGGGGACATTTAGAGATTGCCAGGCAGGTCGAGGCTATCAACAAGGCAGAAAACATTTTAAAATGAGAATATGAAGGAATTAATCTTCCAGTTCCCTCTTACTCATTGAAAACAATTTTAGCTGGGCACTGGTGGCTCACACCTATAATCATAGCTGCTCAGGAGGCTGAAACCTGAGCATTGTGGTTCAAAGCCAGGCTGGATAGGAAAGTCCAGGAGACTCTTATATCCAATTAACTATCAGAAAACCAGAAATGGTGGTGTGGCTTAAAATGGTGACACATTAACCTTGAGCAGAAGAGCTCAGGGACAGCAAGCACCCAGGCCCCAAGTTCAAGCCTTATGACTGAGAAAAAAATTTAATCAGGGAAATGTATCTGTTAGCTCAATGAGCTTCATTCCCATAGCTTAACATGCTTCTTCTCCTTCCTATAGCTTAGCATGCTCCTTTCCTAGGCAACACTAGGACCATTTAGTAAAGGCATATCTCTGATACATTCTCCATATCTAAACACAGAAACCAAAAAAGTCAACATATAAGGTTGTGTAAGCTACATACTGCACAATGTCATTTCATTTAAGGAGCATTATTTACACAGTAAGCAATTATATCTGTATACTTATTTGGCTATAGAAGAAAATGTCAAAGAAGTTTCATACATTACAATCAATTTCCAACAGGTGGCAGTCAAGTGTTTTGAGAAAAGAACACCTTTGTCTCATTGACACAGCCTTACATAAAGGCTGGTGGCAGTCCCACAAGTATTCTCATCTTGGTTAAGAAAGCCATGGACTCGCTGGGCGCTGGTGGCTCACGCCTGTAATCCTAGCTACTCAGGAGGCTGAGATCTGAGGATCGCGGTTCAAAGCTAGCCGGGGCAGGAGAGACCGTGAAACTCCTATCTCCAATAAACCACCAGAAAACCAGAAGTGGCGCTGTAGCTCAAGTGGTAGAGCGCTCGCCTTGAGCTGAAGAGCTGAGGGACAGCACCCAGGCCCAGAGTTCAAGCCCCACGACCAACAACAACAACAAAAAAGAAAGCCATAGACTCTACAACTGTATGCCAAGTGCTGAGTACTTGCATTTTCTCGAGTAATTACCACTCTTCAATATCTTGTAATAGTGGGATAAGAAGAAACCTCTGACTTAGATAAACTCACAAAGCTAACAGGAAACTGGTTGACTATAAATGCTGGTGAAAATGACCACGTGAGATTTCTCTCACACACAGCTCAGATTTTTTTTTTCTGTCCATCATGGGGCTTGAACTCTGGGCCTGAGTGCTGTCCCTCAGCTCTTCAGCTCGAGGTGAGAGCTCTACCCCTTGAGCCACAGTGCCACTTCTGGTTTTCTAGTGGTTTATTGGAGATAAGTCTCATGGACTTTGCTGCCGGGCTGGCTTTGAACTGTGATCCTCAGATCTCAGCCTCCTGAGTAGCGAGGATTACAGGCACAAGCCATCGGAACCTGGCACAGCTCAGATATTGTCAATGGCAAAAACAATCTGACATACTTAGTGCAAATTGTCTAAATAGAACAGAGTAGGGAATAAAGTTCCCAGGAAGCTACAGGAAAAAAAAATCAAGAGAGGGGCTGGGAAGGTGGCTCAGTGGTAGAGCGCTTGCCTTGCATGCCTGAGGCCCTGGGTTCAATTCCTCAGCACCACATAAGCAAAACGAAAAAAGCCGGAAGTGGCGCTGTGGCTCAAATGGTAGAGTGCTAGCCATGAGCTGAAGAGCTGAGGGACAGCACCCAGGCCCAGAGTTCAGGCCCCATGACCGGACCCCCAAAAAAAAAAATCAAGAGAAGACCATTTTACCTACATATTAGAAGTTTATTTCTCCCTAGTGGCACTATGTCCATTACCTTGCCAATGCTTGCTATAACTTAGGCAACATTGGACAGGAGCCTATTTTAAGGTGTTGGATTATTCTGAAGAAATCATCCAAGTGTTTAAAACCTAAATTGATTGTGTTTACTTATCTGGTTGAAAGTCCATGTGAAAGGTAGAAGTCTGTTGGCTCTGTTCCCTGGATGGGCCCCCAGGGTAGTGAGCATAGATTCTTATTATATCCTATTCCCAGAAACCAATTCTTTCTTTTTGCAATTTAAGGATTTAATACCATTGTGCAAACAAGATTTTTAAAAGGCCAGTGGAAAGGGATCATGAATAACTGTATTTCCACAATTCCAGCTCCTTCCTACAACTATCTTCAGTTAGGCTGGCTGCATCAGTGTGCTGAGACTTTCTTCAGGATTTGGTTGACCTTGACCTCATTGAATTCCAAACAAAGAAATTCATATTCCTGTCCACCTTTCCCAAATTCCAGCTTTATTATGGCAACAGGGGTATGTATTTGTGCTGAGTGCCTCGTCTGAGACTTGCCATCAACTTTCCAGCCCAGGCCTCTAAGTCCATTGTCCCAACAGCTCTGGTTCTTAAGGTTCTCTTGGATTTTCATCTTGTGGCTCTTCTAAAACTTAGAAATGACAGCAGCTTGGTCAGATGTGATCCCACCCTGCTTTTTGGTTTGAGCAGTAAAAAAATGCCTCAAGCTGGTTGAAATCCTTCTCTGCAGATGCAATAGACTTAAAAATCCCCTTCACCTTGGCCAGAAAGGGGTGGAACTCCTCAGGTGGCACATCCGGATAGAACTGGCTCTGCAGCAGCTCCTCAGTGATGCCCAGGTGCCCGTGGAGGGCATCCTGAGCCAGGCTGCTCAGCAGCCCACTCAGCGGCTTGATGCTCTTCAAGCTTGCCCACTAGGCTTGGCGGAGGCCCCGCCCTCCAACCCAGAAACCAATTCTTACCACAGTGCAGGGCTCACCTCAGGGAAAGGGCCAGGTTCTCCAGCAACTAATGCCAGGCCACTGTCCAAGCTGAGTCTTATCCTAGACTTCACATAAATGCCACAGGAGCCACAGAACTGGGCAGACAGGTGATTGCTGGCCCCACATTTAGGGCAAACAGAGTGGCTAGCAGGAAGATTAAGCTAGAGGACAGAAAAATGTTTTAGAATACTATTAAGAGTTCTAATTTACCCACCTAAATTCATAGCCAACAAAATAACATGCTCCTACTTCTGACCCAGCAACCCATCTTTTAAAATTTTTCTGATGGAGGGACAAGCTCTTATGGAGTATATACTATGACATTTCTTGCAGTACTGTGTTTTAGAGGAAATAACTGGAAACAACCTAAGTGTCCAGCAATAGGGGATAGTCTAAATATACCATAGTATGAACATACAGACAATGGAATGTTATGAAGGGATTGGGAAGAATGAAAGCTTTACTAATGAGGTAGGTTGCTAGGCGGAAGGAACTGGAACAGGGTTCATCCTAAGCACCAGTTCATGCATAAGGGCACTGAACACCTGAGAAAAACATCTCAGAAACTGGGGGTGACTGAGATAGGGAGAGGAACTGTGGGGACTGAGATGAGAAGGGAGATAACACTTCACTCTAAGCCTTTTTAGTATTTGCACTGCAATAGTAACTCAGACAAATTATTAACCAATAAATCTGAGCCTTCTGCTTAAAAGGTCAGCAAAGTAGTCACTAAAAAAAATGCCAGCGGCCAGTAAGTAAGCAAATAGGTTTAATATTGAAGGAATGACAATCAAAATGTCACAGAGAGACATTCCCAATTATTTAAATTCTTAGATACAGAATCTTACAGGGCTATGGAAGAAGAGCCAGTGTCTTCCCTAGGCTGATGGTGATGTAGTAGTACAGAGTTTTGTTTGTTTGTTTTTGTTTTGTTTTGTGGTTGGTTTGTTTTTGCCAGTCCTGAGGCTTGAACTCTGAGCCTACACACTGTTCCTGAGTTTCTTTTGCTCAAAGCTACTGCTCTACCACTTGAGTCACGGTGCCACTTCCAGCTTTTGTTTCTTTGGTCATCGAGCTTGAATTCTGGGCCTGAGAGCTGTCTTTGACCTCTTCAGCTCAAGGCAAGCACACTACCACTTAAGCCACAGCACCACAGTTTTCTGGTGGTTTACTGGAGATAAGAGTCTCAAGGACTTTTGCTGCCCAGGCTGGCTTCAAACTGCAAGCCTCAGATCTCATCCTCCTGAGTAGCTAGGATGACAGGTGTGAGCCACTGGCACCTGGCTAAAGGTTTGGTTTTTAAGTATCACTGGAGCTCCACACCGGTGCCAGAAAGGATGCATCCCAGAGGTTCCAGCAACCTTACTGAGAACAGGAAATGATCTCTCCTTTCTAAGAAGGTGTGAGAAGGGCTTTATCTCCACTGTACATTGACAAGGGACAGATGGCATTTATAGGCAGGATCAATATCTGGATTCTCTAGGCTCCACCCAAACAAAAAAGGATTAAATCCATGAAACAATGTAGGGACTAAAACTATGATGCATTTAGCCAATTTATAAAAAGCAATTTAAATAACACCTACACCTGTAATCCTAGCTACTCAGGAGGCTGAGATCTGAGGATCATGGTTCAAAGCCAGCCCAGGCAGGAAAGTCTGTGAGACTCT